TAGCCAATAGTAAACTAGCATTGCACCCAAAAAAGGCTCAGCCGATCCAGATGTTGGATCGGCTGAGTCGAACTCCTTCTGCACTTCGGGTCGGCCGAACATGCTGGCATGTTCGGCCGACCCGAAGCCACCCGATGTACGGCTGATTTCAGCCTGAAGTGAATAGCCGAACAGCGTTCGGCTCACTTCACTTCAGGTTGGTCTTTCACTCGGCTGCCTACGGCAGCTTAGTGAATAGACCCCTAAAAGTATGTTTCTGGTATTTCCAATGCGGTATAATGGTATATTATGTGATTGATTTGTTATCATGCCCCATTACTGTTACTTGTTTGGGTTTGGTCTATGTAAAAATCACTAGAAACATTTTAATAAAAATTATGTTTTTGGTACAAAGCAGGGCAAAGTTATTTACAGATGAACAAGAGACTTTTTTCAATTGTGTGCATTTTTTTTCAAAGCAACACTGAAAAAAATAAAACTAATGAAAACAGAAAAAAATGTAAGTATTTTTTGGTAAAATAACAAGAAATAAAAATATCAGTAGAATAATAGCTAAGTAAAGAAGGGAAAGAAGTAGTTAATTAGGGCTGATTTTTTTTTTTTACGATATATCTCCTAAAAGTCCTCAGGTATAAAGTAAAGCTTTCATTATAGATCCATTAAAAAGAAAAATGTTTATAAGAAAAGGGTATTTAAAAAGTATAAAACTTTAATATTTTTAGAGTTACAATGAGTAAAATAAAAGCTGCTAAAAAAATCAGAATGACAAAAATACAAAATAAAAAGCAGGTTGCATGACAAATCCAAAAAATCTTTAAATGAATTGAAAAAAGATCAGGACGGAGCATATAGGCTTACAAAAAATGGCAAGGTTGTGTTGGTCATGGGGGAGAAGGATACAACATATTACACAGTAGCATATTGTAAACCAATAATTTAAATGTGGACATGAATCAGTAGAGCACATGTATTACCACTCACACTGGGTTTTTTTTTGTTTGTTTGTTTTTTAAAGAAAAAAAAGTACAATTTCTTGCCATGAATTAAAAAAATCTGCTTAAAGTAGATAGAAACCCGAAGTGAATGACATTTTGCTTGCTAAAGAACAGCGTACCATAAAAAAATGTCCATGTTTTTCTCATTTAGAAAATACTTAAACTTCTCCTGCCTTCCCCAAAACTCTTCACCCTTTTGTGAATAGCCCTGTTACATATTCTCTTTTTATCCTGTGCTGTCTATCAGTGCTGCTGATCTCTTGCAGCCTGTTTGCAACCCCTTCCTGTCTACATATACTTGTTGCAGTGTTGGTTGTATGTTAAAGCCCAGGAAAGTTTCCTGATGGTGACAATGGTGGAACATGCCTGCACAATGAACCTTGCTTATAGGCCCATTCATTCAGACTGTGCTGTGTTGCGGCACGCATTACCGTGGTATTCTGCACATTAAAGTGTACCTTTTAGCAGGAAATTAAGGGGTCTATTCACAAAGCTGCCGAGGGCAGCCGAGTGAATGACCGATCAGAAGTGCAGTGAGCCGAACACTGTTCGGCTATTCACTTCAGGCTGGTACGGCTGATTTCAGCCGATGTACAGCTGAAATCAGCCGTACCAGCCTGAAGTGAATAGCCGAACAGTGTTCGGCTCTCTTCACTTCTGATCGGTCATTCACTCGGCTGCCCTCGGCAGCTTTGTGAATAGACCCCTAAGTTCCTCTAATTCTCTTCCTTCCCCTCTTAGGCAATCAAATAGCCGAACAGCGTTCGGCTCACTTCACTTCTGATCGGTCATTCACTCGGCTGCCCTCGGCAGCTTTGTGAATAGACCCCTAAGTTCCTCTAATTCTCTTCCTTCCCCTCTTAGGCAATCAAATAGCCGAACAGCGTTCGGCTCACTTCACTTCTGATCGGTCATTCACTCGGCTGCCCTCGGCAGCTTTGTGAATAGACCCCTAAGTTCCTCTAATTCTCTTCCTTCCCCTCTTAGGCAATCAAATAGCCGAACAGCGTTCGGCTCACTTCACTTCTGATCGGTCATTCACTCGGCTGCCCTCGGCAGCTTTGTGAATAGACCCCTAAGTTCCTCTAATTCTCTTCCTTCCCCTCTTAGGCAATCAAATAGCCGAACAGCGTTCGGCTCACTTCACTTCTGATCGGTCATTCACTCGGCTGCCCTCGGCAGCTTTGTGAATAGACCCCTAAGTTCCTCTAATTCTCTTCCTTCCCCTCTTAGGCAATCAAATAGCCGAACAGCGTTCGGCTCACTTCACTTCTGATCGGTCATTCACTCGGCTGCCCTCGGCAGCTTTGTGAATAGACCCCTAAGTTCCTCTAATTCTCTTCCTTCCCCTCTTAGGCAATCAAATAGCCGAACAGCGTTCGGCTCACTTCACTTCTGATCGGTCATTCACTCGGCTGCCCTCGGCAGCTTTGTGAATAGACCCCTAAGTTCCTCTAATTCTCTTCCTTCCCCTCTTAGGCAATCAAATAGCCGAACAGCGTTCGGCTCACTTCACTTCTGATCGGTCATTCACTCGGCTGCCCTCGGCAGCTTTGTGAATAGACCCCTAAGTTCCTCTAATTCTCTTCCTTCCCCTCTTAGGCAATCAAATAGCCGAACAGCGTTCGGCTCACTTCACTTCTGATCGGTCATTCACTCGGCTGCCCTCGGCAGCTTTGTGAATAGACCCCTAAGTTCCTCTAATTCTCTTCCTTCCCCTCTTAGGCAATCACATACTGTTTTCTTTAAAAGTAAATACCATTTTTTTTATAGTGGTGCAGCCTCCCATTTCCAGATTCCTCATCTAGGCAAGGGTGGCCAAGTGATCTACCACCCTCAGTCTCTGGGGACATCCACATCACACATCCCAGGAGGCTGTTTCAGTATATGGTGAAGTATCGCTATATTTCGATATGGGGAGCAATTCAATGTTGGGGGGTCTACAGAGAAATATGCAACATGTAGCAGCTGGAGACAGCTGGCTCCTGATGACAGGAGTTTCAAGATGGTACAGAAGCAGAGTGGTGCAAGGAGATCTCCAGCTGCAAGGTAGACAATGCTGGACTCTAGACTAATGCGTAATTTGTTTTTTCATATCACACAGGGACACCTAATAGAGAAGCTGCATTCAGCATTGCATAGGTGGGAGGAAGGTCCTCTTTAATGTGTGCTACGTTAATGGTGACCATTCAAGATTCACCACAATGCATATTTAAATAGAACTATTGTTTCGGCACTGTGCACTAAAATGCATAGATGGTTCACAACTGCAGCACCAAAAGTGTGTAGTCAAAAACTGCAACTATATTGCAGTTTACTGCCTAGGTGCGTTATTTTCCTGTAGAGAAATTAATGTCACCGCAATGCACCCTGCTAAAGGTGTTTTACCTGTGTTCACAGGCGTTTTAGCATGCATTATGGTAGAGCAATAGCCTGAATAGACCCAAATGTGTCATGAGTCTCTTATTTTCTTGCCATTGGTGCAACTTGCTTTTGTGGAGTGCCACAATACAGTAATAAAATACATTTTACCGTTTCACCTAACACCCAAGAAACCGTCCATCAACACGTATCATATATGCCCGTTCACACTTGCTTGCTATGTACCTTTCATATGCAGTAATTACTTTGCCTTTGTTCTATTCTTCTCTATTCACATTGATATTTCATACCCACTGATTGTGTGGGAGGTTGTGATTTACAATGTGCATACTGTTGGATGTCCTGCTGGGTTATCCCTATATATCATCACAGTGAATGTAAGGTGATTTTTTAAATATGTACTGTATATTTTCTTCTTTATTATAAGCAGGTCTAAAGACTAAATGTAAAAAACATTTTTGTTTGTATGTTATATATTCTACTCTCCAGTCAGTAGGTAGAGCTCTTGGCCTTTTTTCTTAATCTTTTGTAGATACTCCTCATCTCTTTTGTTATAAAAAGCCTACTGTTTACAGAGCTAAGTAACTCAAGCTGAGATAGACACACACAAGTGAACGGCTTAGAGGTGTCACTTCCCCCCTTCGCTGGCAGTTCTGTTTAAAGTTTCAGTTAGATGCAGAAAGTCTGAAAGTGATTAGCTGGCGATAAGCTCTGTCCTTAGAAAACCTACAGTGCTCTGGAAATCCTTTGTCCTGTTCTAAACGCTAATGTGTAGCACAACGTTTATAAACATATAATAAAATATAGTTATAAAATGTAACGTGTATGTGAAGTTAAAACTGTTTTAATGTTCGGATACAGTGGGAGGGATGAGGGATTTTTTTTCAGTCTGTTTCCCTGCTGAGGTGATTCACTTTCTAGTTTTCCTGCTGACCGCTGTCTCTGATACAGTAAGGGATGGGGAATATTTTAGGAGCTGCCACATGAAGAGAAGGTAAGGCCCAATATTTGGGGACACCTCTTCAAGTGACAACTGTCTAAGGCTGGCCAAACACTATACAATCTAATTGTACAATCTCTTTTAGATCTACCATCAACTATGTAGTGCAAGATCTGATTTGATACAAACTAAATTAAAATGTTTAGGCATGTCTTTGTTTTACATAGTTTTGGTAAATTTAAAGAAGAAGATTGTACAATCAAACTGTATAGTGTATGGCCAGCCTGAGAGGGAATTTACCCTCAATTTGGAGAGATTTTCTCTCGCTTTCTGCTGTGTGTCTGGGACATGATGTAAAGAAAATTCCCTCTCGCTTTTATGTATATTTTACTTTTGTAATTAAAAGTACGCCATGGCCTCACTTTTATGAGATAATGCAAAATTACCCCAACATTTATTGTATGAATACATGTGCAAACTGCACTAAAGTCCTCAAAATTCATTGGCTTAGTTCATAGCACTGTGAAAGAGCACAATGCACTATGGGGGGAATTTATTAAAACTGGAGCAGCCACAATCTAGAGCAGATTTGCACTGTAACCAGTTAGCTTCTCTGTCTCATTTTCAAATCTTACCTGAGCAAACTGAAAAGAGAAGCTGATTGGTTGCCATGGGCAACTGCTCCAGATTCTTCTGCTCCAGTTTGATAAATTCCCCCCTATGTGAGCAATCTTTCTGTAGATGTGCCATTCAAATTTGCACCACTAGAGGGCAGCCAGTACTTGTTTTTTTTCAGAATTGCAGCCGTCATTCATATGAAAACATGATGCGCTTTGCCATCTTAGCATTATTTCAGGATATTTTTGCAGTGTTGCCAGGTGGACAAATAAGCACTATAACAAATACTGACTTATGTGTATAGATGTTAAAGATTGCCATGCAATGCATGCCAAATGAATAAAAGCATCAGTATAATAGCAGTAAAAGTTGCATAATTATTTCAATTTGTTTATTAACTAATTTCTCCTATAACATGCTTTTGTAATAATACCTGCTATAACTGTTGTCATTTCAGTATTCATAAGCAGTTCCTAGTGTTAACCAGTGCTAATATATAATTATTTCAAAAGTATCAGTATCGCCAGCTAGTATGGTTAAATGTAATATTAATTATTTAGAATTAGTACCATTATCCAAACACTGTTAAGAATCACACACTGCCATCTCTGTGAAGCTTTGTTTACAGAGTATAGATATTATATCTATATAATAGATAGATAGATAGATAGATAGATAGATAGATAGATAGATAGATATTCTGTAAACCTGCACAGTCCTAAAACAGTGGCTGGTGTGCATTGCCCGACACAGTGCCAATGTGCCGTATCTGGCACATTGCACTGTTTTTTGTTTTTTTTGGTACAACTTTATTGTACTTGTGACATGAAATGTGACATGAAATTCAGTTCTACCGGCACAGCAGGGTGTGAGGCAGTTGCGCTGAACAAAAGCAAGCTGTACTTGTTTTCAGTGCACACCACCTTGTTCCCATCGCATCGTGGTGTTGTGAACTGAGCACGTCGGTGACAAGGCAAATTGGAAACAATTGTAATCGGTCCCACTGCTTAAAGAACCGATCCTGTACTTGCATAGTCAAAGCTCTGAGGCCTTGTTCACACCAAGTGCGTTCCAGGAGCAGAGCAGAGCCGTTGCAGACCGGAGCAAAACTGCGTCCAATGTATTCCAATGGTATTTTTAGCTCCAGTTCACATCGCATTGTTTTTTTCCAGAGCAGGTAAAAAAAACTGCAGCAGGCCCTATTTTACCTGCTCTGGAACGCTGGCAAACACATCAAAAACGCATGCAAACTCCCTGGGACGCACTGAAAGCCCATTTTAAACTTTAAACATTTTTTGTTTTTTTTGAACCAAAAACGACCCGGAACGCATCAAAAACGCGGCAAAAACCCGGCACAACCCACTGCACTGCGTGTGCAGAAACTAATGCAGATCTGCTCTGCATTTGGTGTGAACAAGGCCGTAAGGAACTTAGGAACTTATAACTTACATTACTAATACCCCCATGTTCTAATGTTCTAATTATTTTGCTATAAAATAAAAGCTTCTGAAAGGAAATTAAATTGACAAAAATACAAAATAAAAAGCAGGTTGTTTTTGTTTTTTTTTGGGAGGGAATGAGGTTGGATTTAGGGGAGGAGGGGAGGGGAATGGAGGGGAATGGATGAAGGAGTGGGTATGATAGGCTGGTTTTTTTTTTTGTGTTTTGTGTTTGTTTATTTTTGAATAAATGGGGTAAGAGAAAAGGCATGGGGCCGTGATTGAGTGGCATTCCAGACAATATAGTGCTTTTCGCCCTCTCTTTTCATGGCTAGATAAGTAATGGTGAAGGGTCAGTTTATCATCCAATCAAGCATAAATATGAGTAGTTTTTATTGGTTATGACTTATTTTCCACCTGTAATTAAGAAGAAATCAAGAAATTTTAGATGTGAAATAGCCATATATGTAGAGGTTACCGATACTATTATGTAATTTATGGAATTGTATGCGAAATTAAACAAATAAAAATGTATTATGAAAAAAAAAAAGCAGGTAGCATGACAAATTCTAAAATCTTTAAATTAATTGCAAAAAGATGAGGTCTGAGTAGAAAAGCCCACAAAACATGCTAAGGTTGTTTTGGTCTTTGAGGAGAAGGAGAAGAAAAGGTTATTACATTTCATCTTTGGCTCTGTGTACAAAGGTAATGAGGTAATGTATGACAATGACATTGACATAATATGAAATGTTCCACAGCAGCATATTGTAAACCAGTAATTTAAATTCATTTGGACAATCAAACTGGACCTTCAATTAAAATGACGCCTGATGTACTGTTAGTTTCAGTGTTGTTACATTGTGTAATGTGTATTTCTGCATGAGGGCGTTGCAATGTTGACGTTTAATTCTTAATTGTTCTTAAAAATAATAAAATAATAACTTCACTACTTGATTGAAAAATATATTATCTAGTTTGGTGGTCTGCTCAATTTCTTCAGGGCCCCCTTTACAAGTGACCTACTGCTATTGGGTGTAAAATGTACCTGTAATGAAAAAAGCTACATTTAGGTAAATTATTTATCAGATGTTGATAAAACAAACAGCACTTTTCTTCCCTTTTTTATTCAGCTCATTGTTAGAACATGTGCACATAGTTGTAAATTAGTGATGTAATTCACTGTTCTATGTCATAAATGTCAGGGGTCCCCCCACAGCCGCCGGTCCTCGGCCAGGAGCCTGTCCCTGCAAATAGGCCCAGCCATCCCGGATTGCCTCGGTATGCTTGATGGCAATCTGGGCCGGCTACCATCTGGCAGAGGTTGCCCTCTAATCAGGTATATTAGTAGGCTATAGCCGCCAGTGAGACTCTACGAGCCCGCATTGACCACCTGAGAGCCATACTGACCACCTGAGAGCCCCATTGACCACCTGAGAGTCCAGCTGACTTCATGAGAGCCCAACTGACCACCCGAGAGTAATCAGGCATATTAGAAGGCCGTAGCCACCAGTGAGACTCTCCAGACCCCTGGTGAGAGCCCGCACTGACCACCTGAGTGCCGTTCTGGCCACCTGAGAGCCTGCAGCACTGGCCATTTGAGAGCCTCTACTGGCCACCTGAGAGCCTGGCAAGTGTCAGAAAACAAGCTCAGGGCTCCCACTGATTCTGCATTATGGTGAGTTGTATAATTATGTCATTATATACTACAATGTAATAATAATAGAAATAAAGAAGTGCACAATAAATGCACTTGAATCATCTCGAAACCACCCCAAGAGACACCCTACTGTTCATGCACACTTTTAAGCCATACCCACAAAAACCTGCCCCCTATTTGCTGCCACACCAACAAATTCATGCTCCCCCACTTTAAAGTCACAACAACAAACTCATGCTACCATTTTAACATGCCCTCAAACAATTTGTTGCAGCGGAAAGAGGCAGACAGAAAATGACACCACTGTGTTGATGACAATGGGAGGAAAAATTGCTATTTTGTGAGTGTCTTGGGGAGAAAAAATGCTGCTACATCGGTGGTGTCAGTAGGATGAAGGAGGGAAACTGGCAGGCTGGGGTGTGGGGCTCTTTGGGGTGCAATAAAATAGAGTCCTGTGTTGTTCTAGGAGAGTGAGGGTCTTAAGGTCACACATCAATATGCGGGACCACTAGGGCACTGTGATCTGTACTAGTCATCTACTCCCCTTGCTGCCATGTCAGTGAGTGTCACAAAGGTAGTACAACTCACTGTACAGTATTCTGTATGCCTCGGTGGTGGACCTGGTGGGGAACCCTGCTTGTAGTGCTGCTCAATATGGACACTCTCCCATTCTGTTCTGGACTGTGCAGTTCTGGACTTCTTTTATCTTCTATACTCAATCTCCTCTGCTCATTATGGACACTCTACTCCACTTATGGACATTCGGCTCTTATCATCATGGTCCTTAGGATGGCCACCATTAGAAATCATGAGGCATCTACAAATCCTATCTGACAGGGCCCAATCAACACCCCCTTCCACCTCAGTAAACCTTTACAGTGCTCCAGCCTCATACCTGTTGTAAGCCTCAGTAAACTTTTATAGTGCTCCGGTCAATGACTGTCCTTCACCCCTACCTGTTCTAAGACTCGGCACACTTCCATAGTGCACCATCTTCATGCCTGTTCCCCTACTTTCTTCTCAAAATTAAGCTCCCTCCTCTATACATGCAGTGTGAGCAAGTTCTCTTTCCTGGCTTTTCTATGACAGGCACATATCTGTTGCTCTGCTTGTTGTTGCCATGGTGCTGGATCACACCCTGTACACTTGCTGGAGATCTGTGGCAGTCCTGGACTGTATTAACTCTCGCCTGGTGCCAGGTTGGCAGTGCCATGCCATTCTGTACTCACCACCACATGGGGCATTGCCATGTCTGCTGAGTCAAAGGAGTCAGCAGGTGTGAAGGGGAGGAAATGCAGTGGATGATCTGTGTCTTCTGCAAGGAACGTCTCTGCACTAAACAGGGCTGGAGATTACACAGATGGCATGCCTGTGTCCCACCTGCTGAGGAAGATGTGGGGTGAATCTTTATCAGGACACAAGAGGATGTGTAGTGAAGTGGCCTGCAGGATCTGCAGTCCAGCATGATTGGTTGCTAGGATGCAGGCAAGGGGGCTGTGCAACCTCATGCGTTTCAATGGCCCTGTTGGCTTGCATCCTAGCAACCAATGACGCAGGTGAATCCATCTATTACTGCTGGGGCAGCCAGGCTAGGGAGTCAATTTAAAAAAAAAGGGATGACACATCCCGGGACACCCTTCTAAATCAGGGATTGTCCTCATAAATCAGGGATGTATGATCAGCCTACTGTAAATATTCTTTTTATGAAGTAGTAATGTCAATATTTGACAGACTAGGTCAGGCTTACACATTACGCTGGTGGGTCTACAAGAAAGCAATGGGCAAGAGTGGGGGTTATAACACTCCCTATAATTCATTAGTCAGTCAGGCACTTCTTTTATAACACCTCATTATCTAAAACTTTTCCTTCATTATCCTCTGTGGAGCTATCTCTACAGCTTATTAAGAAAAAATCTAGGTCAATCCATTTAGTGTTTGTTTACTTTTACACGTTTGTCAAAAATCCCTATATCCCTATCCCTCTATAGTTGTACAAGAAGATTTTTATTTGGTTTACAAGATCCTGCTGATAAAATGATAGCTGTAATTATTTCCCTTAGCGGTATCGCAATAAACATCTGTAATATTTAAGCTGTTCGGATTGATATCTCTGTACTAGCCGTTCATACATTGTACATAATATTTTCCTGAATGCATATTCTTACTCACAGAGCCATGCAGAAAAAAATGGGAAAAATACTATTCTCTCTAATGTATACATTTCTGCAGCCAGTGACTGGTTTTAGCATACACTGTATTTTTTACTTTTAAGTTTTGTACTCTTTCATTTTGACAGTTGTCTTACAATGTATGCTGTTTTCTCTTTTATGGCTTTATGGCCATGGATTGAGTAGATTAATTTTACATCATGAATCGGTAAAGTCAGCCGTTCCTAGTGAACTGGTTCATTCTCAAGTGTATCCATTCAGTCAAAGCAGAACTCCAAGTACAATTGATAATAATAATTATTATTGATTTTTATGAAAGTATAACATGCTGTGGCTTTGCAGTGTGATAGATGTAACAAGGCAGGTTGGTACAAGTGAAAAAACAATAACATACAGTTGAAAAGCAAATATAGCAATAAAAAGAAGTGACGGGATAGACATCTGCCCATTTAAAGTGCGTGTCTTCTCCACTTATCTGGTAGAGCCTGAACATCCTGTTTTCCACTTTCAGTTTGTGCACTGCAGTATCTTTTGCAGCCTCCAAACCCTGCCTGTCTGGTCCACACTCCTCCCCTTGGAGGCCTTTGTCATACAGAACTACCTAGTCACATTTCTTAATGTAGGTGGTAGGTGGTGGGATCACTCTAGGCTTTCTAATTGTCCTATCCAGTCATTATCAGCAACAGCAAGTGATGCTCACTGCAGAGCACAGTTGCCATACTAGCAGTGACAGCTAGCTCCGCCCAATAGTTTTCTATTGTCCGGCGGCTCTGCTGCTGTAAAAAAAAAATAAGTTCAGGATCTGTACGGGCTATTGTGAATAGCCCGTACAGCACCCCTTCGGTTCTACTGAACCGAAGGGGTCCTGGGGCCGAAGCTAGCCGAAGGATCGGCCGAAGCTACGGCCAGATCCTTCGGCAGCTTCGTGAATAGACCCCATAGTTTATTAAAAAACACTCCTTCTTGTTACAGTCCCTAAAGCCCACTATGTGAAAAGGGTGTCAGTAAAAAGCTGCAGTAGTGTAAATGATACTGCATAGAGAGCCAGATGAGTTCAACCACGCATATTGCTTGAGAGTGATGTGCCAAGGTGCGGCCCTTCTCCCTCCTACCTGCCCCTATTGTGTACAATACTAATGCTTCCCACCTTATTAACACCAATGAGAGAAAGAAAAAGAGAAGGTGGAGAGGAGAAAAGAGTTTCGGAAGATGCTACACTTGGGTGAGTACACATGTACCACAACTGACCTTATATAATGACCAGTGGGGGGAATTGTACTTTAATAAAGGGCACCATAGCCATGGTAGAATACAATAGTAAATGCTTTGTGTAGGCGGACCTATCATTTTACCAATACTTTTTTGGGGAGGCTTTGCATAATATTTGCACCTCCCACATGATTCCGGCTTTGTGTGGTACATACAAAATTTAAAGGGTAATTCCACTTTCCCAGGCCAATTTGGGAAAGGAATTTCCCCCTCCAATATGCCCCCCGCTATACTTACTTTTGGCCGAACGCTCCTTTGCCTCCATTGGTGCCAGTGTACTACATGGCAGCACAGCTCTGCTCTGTATTTTGAATTTTGCTCACAAATGGCGAGCACTCATTCTTTGTTCAGTGCGATCAGAAGCACTTCTCATTGGTCAGTGCGGTTAGGTTCAAAGTCCAGAGCATAGGGCTGCGTTGCCATGTACGGACTATGGGTAGTATACCTGCACTGGGGGAGGGGGAGGAGCATTCGGCCAAAGGAAAGTATAGGAGTGGGGGTGGGGGAGAAGGGGGCAGATTGGAGGGGGTAATGCCATTTTCCCAAATTCATCTGGGAATGTGGAATTACCCTTTAAAACAGCTACTTTGTTTTTCACATTTAAAGTGACCCTTAAAATCCACATCTTAAAATGTGCATCAGCAATGCACTTCATCTTGCACCAATAAGTTGTTGTAAGATGAATATATGGTGATTAAAGTTGGTGCAGCTATTATACACTCTTTACCCCCTTTTCAATTGCTTTATTGGCAAATTTGAACTGCTTAGCTCTGAATAATAAACTGGTGTCTCAATTGCTGAAGCTCTGATTACACACACAGCTTAATAAGTCAAAAAGGTGACCCCACCACCCTCCCTTCCTCTTGTCTCCATGCTCTGTACAGCTCCATACAGATTCTCTGTATAGCCTTTCAGTTAGAGCGCAACAGTCAGCTACTGATGTGTCCTATCTTTACAAGACCCTCAATGTTCTAGTGCCATGGGTGCACCCTGTGCTAAACATTTGTAAAATAAAAAGATTTGATATTTATAGCAACACAATAGAGCACACTATTACACATCGGGATATTCATGTTAAAAAAACATAACAGCAGTTAAAAAAAGTATATAACATTTATAATAAAATAACATTGTCCCAAAATCATTATTTTTTATTTAATTGATTAGTGTTACACAGTGTTCCCCAGTGGCCACAAATATTATTTCTGGCAGTGCATGTCAGTGGGTAGAAACATGATAGGATATGTAATTCTGAAATCTGGGCCAAGGATAGAGCTAGATGGCGAGACATGGATTTAGGATCTGATCTTTTTTCTATTGAGGTATATTTTGTGAGTAATTTTCTTTTATATTAGTAAAGATCAGGGTGAAAGGTTACTGAATGTTTGGCTTTAGATGAGCCTACTTTAAGATGTTAGCCTTCATATTGTACATATCAGTAAATGAAATGCTGGCATTATGCTCAGACTGTGAGGTGTAGTCATTCATCACTAGGGTTAATTGTGTAGGTGAAGTCCAGAATTATTCTCTTCACTCCGGCATGCATTGCGCTATCCAATGTGATACCCAATTATAATCTACATACATGTGGGCATTCTACATATGCGCTTACATTCATATGTATAGGGCAGCAGGAGAGCTTTTACTTTTTTTGTTATTTTAATTTTATTATTTTTTAATTTTTAACACTTTTTCCAGTTAATTGTATTGCTATCACAAGGGGCCTAACAAGTTCCCTATGTGATAACATTGGGCAGGTGACAGGTCTACTGGGCCAAAATGTCTCTCCTGCTC